TCGCTGGAACTCGCACTCAGAACTACCAGAGGAGGTGTGGGACTTCGGCATGCATTTTCTTCCTTCTGGAACGCTGGAATACAAGCGCATTGCATCAGATGAATGGGAACACTCCCTGTCGAGGCTGCGGCCAAACGCCGCCAAAGGGCCAGACAGTTTTAGCAAAGAAGATTTGCGACGCATGCCCCAGCACTTGAAGGACCAGATCCTTTCTCTCTACACAGAGATTGAACAAGGCAGATGTGAATGGCCAGCCCAACTACTCCAGGGGACAGTGAGAGCGCTTGCCAAGCAGCAGAACTCCACGCAAGTTCTTCACTTTCGCCCTATCGTGATCTACGGCATGGTATACCGACTCTGGTCCAGCACAAGAGCCCGCCAAGCACTGCGTTTCCTGGAGCAGTTTTGCGGAGGCGAGATGTACGGTTTCCTGCCGGGAAAAGAAGCCATGCAGTACTGGTACGTCCAACAAGCCAATATCGAGCTCTGCCTTCAATCAGGGCAACCTTTGGTTGGATGGAGCAGCGACCTGCAAAAGTGCTTCAACTCCATCGCAAGAGTCCCAAGCATGCTCCTGGCGAGGCACTTAGGCATTCCCTCACCGGTGATACATGCCTGGATTACGTTTTTGAACCACAACACCAGAAGGTTTCAAATTCGACAAGGACTCGGACCCCCCATCAAATCCTCAACGGGCATGCCGGAAGGATGTGGCATGAGCACGGTAGCAATGACCATCATCGATCTGTGCTTCCATGTATACTTCCGTGCGTTCATGCCTGGCATCAGCACCTACAGCTACGTGGATAACTTTGCGGTGCAGACTACCACGGCAGCTTCGCTTACGAGGGCGTGGCTTACTTTCCTGGCATTTTGTGACATGTGGCACCTGCAGCATGACCCACAGAAGACACTTGCTTGGGCCTTGGACAAGGAAGACGGGAAGATGCTGCAACGCTCTGACTTTCAGGTAGTTACCGAGATGCGGGACCTTGGTGGCTACTTTACCTTCAAACTGAGAGGCAGACGCAACTTGGCGGCCGACAAGTCTCGTTTGCTGAATCAGGAATGGGACACACTTCGCCGAGCAGCAGCCCCATTCCCATACAAACTCCAGGCAATCTACGTCAAATTTTGGCCTTCAATCCTTTACGGTACTACAATCTGCGTCATCACGGATGCGGAAATCAAGAGCCTACGTTCCGCAGCGGTGCATGCTTTGAGGACCAAAAAGGCCGGTTCAAACCCTTTGCTCCGATTAAGCTTAAGCACCTGCATCCTCGCGGATCCGGCCTTCTATCGCATCTGGACCATGCTACAGGACCTCCGCAGACTTTGCAACAAGTCACCCCATTTGCTGACAAACTGGAAGCATTTCATGACGTTTTTCGAGCTTGACGGACGTTTGTTTGCCGGGCCTTTCTCGCAACTCGTACAGTCGCTTTCACAGATGCATTGGTGCATTGAGGCTCCTCCCACGGTCCGAGATCATGATGGCATCATCTTCAACATACTGGAGACCGGGAAAGCAGACCTTTTCCGACGTCTATGCGATGGATGGCTACAGCACGTGGCCACGCAGGTGTCGCATCGACACACCATGAAGGACCTCAGAGGTATAGACGGATACTTGACCAGATTGGACTCTGCAAAGTTTTCTTCTACTACTGCTTCACGGGTCGCCGCGCTTCAGGATGGAACTTTCCGCCTGTCACAGCAACAGGCGAAGTACGATGCTACACAGACCGGACAATGCAGGGTATGTCAGACAGCAGATACAGTACAGCACATGTGCTTGGAGTGCCCCCGGCTACAGACCTACCAGGAAGAACGTGATTTGCTAGGCACAATGTGGCAGGACCTTCCAGACTGTTTGACGCACCACCTGCTGGTCCCCAGACTTCTGAACATGGGTGAGTACCTCGGAATGCTCTGTGCGCAGCCGGACAAGACTTCTGCCTTTGAAGACGTCGTACCACCCCACGGCAAGCTCAACGTTTTCACAGACGGGGCTGCCAAGACAAGCAATCATCCTTGGTTGACGCTTGCAGGCTGGGCAACTTTCTGTGTCGAAACCAATTCGATTCTGGCAGCAGCGCCATTGTCAGGCATCAACCAGGACATCGCACGGGCAGAGTTAACAGCCATACTCAGCGCGGTCAGATGGTCAATTCATATCAGCCGCAATATTTGTATTTGGACAGACAGTCAATCGTGCATTGATGGTTGGAAGAAGATCGAAGATGGCTTCAAGAAGTTCACCATGCTCCCTCATGGAGATCTCTGGCAAGCCCTCGCTTTCGCACGAGAACAAGGCCACACTGAAATTGACATAGTCAAAGTCAGCAGCCATGTTGCAGACGGCGAACGGGTAGATGCACTTCAAGATTGGGAGTTCAAATACAACGAGGCCGTTGACACGGCCGCGAAAGCCACGGTTTTCAACCGACCGCCCAAGCTCCTCGAGCTCCACAAGCAGCTGCGCAGTCAGGTAGAGCATTTGACCCCGGCCATCCGAGCCATTCGAACCCTGACACTTGCAGAAGCCAATTTGCATGAGAGGCAAAGCCTGTCCGACCCGAATGAGGATCCACCGGACTTTTGGGCCGCGCCTGTCGTTTTTCAGCCAAGACCATTTACGGTCAGAATTCGAACTGATCCGACCCAAATAAGGGAGTTTTGCGAGGCCCAGCAGACACCATTCCCGTCCACCTTTGTGAAAGCTTTCGTGGATTGGCTCCTGCTTTTTGATGAAGGCAGTGAGGGCGAATACCCTTTTAGCTGGTTTGAGTTGGCTGTCGCCTTCATAGGCATGGGGAGCCACTTTCCGGTTCGCCATCATTCGGGATGGGTGGAGCCTAGTACAGCAGGTTGCCACGGTGCCCCGTTGATCGGTGACATGATTTATTGCACAAGGGCCGTTTCCAAGGCCTTTTTGAAGAAGTGTCTGTGCACGGATCTCTTGCATTCTAGCATTGATTGTTCCGGTTTTGGTGTTCAGTGTTTCGCTGCTGGTGCTAGGTTTGGGGCCATTTCAGATCCGTTGCAGAAGGCACGCGAGGCCATCGCCCTTCGGGCCGGGAGCAGGGCATTCCGCTCCGCGGCCGACTTCGCTCGTCCCTGGTGAGACACTTGGACATCCGGCTTCGCTGCTTTGGCTGCGGACCGGTTCGCGCGAGCGGGTGGGGATAAAAGGACATGGTCATCCAGGACCGCGAAACGTCAGGTTCCGTTGGAGGGTCTGGCAGGTGAGGTCCGGTAGCATGCATGAATCTTCATGCCCGGTAATGTTGTAGCCAGGGCCATGTGACTCGCCACCGCAGGCCTCTGCTCTGGAGCTGGAGTTGGACGAGCTGCGGCAGCACCTTGGGGAGTCGCAGCAGGAGAGTCCGCCGTTCCGATCATTCGCAGATGTTGCAAGAGAGAGATGTGTATCAGTTTTACCCTCCCACCAATTATCCAGGAGACAATTTTCCTTAAAGCGGACCTCTGTCAGGTTCCATGTTAATTGGTGGGAGGGTACTACACACACATATATGTAATTTATATATTTATGTACTATATATGTGTATATGTTATGCATGTTGAGTTCCGGAGTGGGGGGGTGTCCACAAGAGGAAGCTAAGGAGCTACCAGAAGCTAGGGGTAAGGGCTAGGCGTGTTCTCAGGTCCTTTCAGAGCCCCCCTTTGTGAAGCATGGGGCTGAGGACGGCCCGTCACTGCTAAGAGTGCGGCTGTCCAAAGCCGCGAAGACTCCCAATCCCCACCCCTCAGGTTTGTGGATCTTTAACCTGGAACTGCTTGTGACAATTGTTATCTTCACCTTTCACAGAGGTTGCATATTTTCCTCTCGTGATTTTGTAGATGGGAAGTTTATGAGTAGCTTTTGGCCCAGGCTATTCTTTTCCGTGATTCAACTCAAGAAAGTTACTGCCAAGTGAGACATGCTGTACAGAAATTGTTGCCAGCTGCTTGAGCCGGGGCAAAAGTCGCAATTCCACCCACGCAGCTTCCTTAGAATCTGTGGTTTAGTTGGTTGGATTACAATTGCAATTCCACCCATTCGGCTCCCATGGAATAATTGTTTTAGTTGGGGGAATTGCATTCGGCAAATAGCGCCACGAGAAGCTGCCAGTTGTTTAATTTGTAGCCTGGGTGGGAGACATGGGGCAACCCAATGTTCCCACTTTAGGTTGCAGAGTTGGTTGGTCCTCCCTGTGCTTGTGAGTTCGGCACAGGCTCCGGGGTCAAAACGCTTGAGCCGTCGGTCGTTTTCGCCGCTCGCCGTGTTGGTTTACTGGCCCAGTTGTTTTTTTCCCCCGACGGGTTCCGCTCGTAGGAGACCCAGAAGATGCGAGCCCAGGCGGTGTCGGATCCGCTGGGCCGACGAATTTTGTTGCAAATTGGGTCAGCCCGGGCACACAGAAGAGGCTTCCCCCACTTGAATCGAGCGACCAAGTACTGACAAACCACTCAGGTGGTAAAGGGGCTTAGCCACTACGAAAAGGGTACAGAGCCCGATTTAGCCTGGGTTGCGGTAGCTTGGGAGAGTGGAAGCCATCTTAGCATGCCCTTAATTTTGCTTGAGAGGGTGGATCTCCTACATAGTGCAGCTAGGGGGTTCAAGTGGTACACCTGCAAGTTCCTATTCCCATAGCTTGTGACTGGTTTACAGACTGGTGAAGCTGTTCTGTTGGGCACCTTGCTTCCACTTCCCTCTTGGTTTGGATTGGTGGGGGGGTGCCCCTTCAAAAAAGGCTGGGGGATTCCTATTCTCTTCACCCATCGTGCTTCAACAAACCACCAATGTCCCCTATAGATTCCCTGCAATTTGGGCACTGTGGAGAATCCCTGGACTCACTGCCCGAGTTCCTCCAAAAAATAACCCACCTTTTTGGGAGGCCAATTCTTATACAGAACAAGTTGTTTTTTGCTTCTTGCGACATCGGAAAGGCTCAGAAACGGTGGAGACCGTTTTGCTCGCCGCGTTTTCGGCTTCCAGCTCCGCGCGTGTCCCGCGCTTCCCGCGCTTCCCGCGCACTGCATGGAGCCGGACTTGCCGTCGCTCCTCGAAACAGCAAGAGTTCTGACGGAAACCGGCAGGAAACCACCACTTCTTTGGGGGCTTCCCCTCTTTTCGGGACATGTGTTCATTTTTCTCCGGCCAGTTGGCCCATGGTTCATTCCAGGAAACCAGTTTCCAGACATCCTATTTGCAGGGTGTCGAATTCCGATAGGGCCCCTTGCGATTTGTTTAGGCCTCAAGGCCCAACGTCTTCTAAGATATTCCGGCAAGAGTTACCGATGTTCATTTAAAGACGAGTGGATACAGCCAAGGGCTTGTTGAGTCTCACCTGCAACTGGCCATGGCGGTTAAAAAGAGACTAGTGGATCCTGTGTAATGTTGACCCCGTATTAGTCAACCGCTGTTTATTGATAGGGTGGTGGGGGCCCCTCCAAAACAGTCTGATTCCCCACATTTCACCCAGTTGGACACCCCATTAATAAACTGGGGTTGAGATTAAGATAGGGTCACCAATGAATCTTTTCAGCCAAAAGGAGAATGACGATGACATCCAGCGCCTGGTCCATGGCCACCCCACCTGGGTTAGCTGCCGCGCTGAGGACGGTGCAGGCGCACCCGGCGCCTGCCGGGAAGCCGGACCTGGCGAAGGATGCGGCCAAAACCGCGTGGCGAGCCAAGGACGGGGCGGGAAGAGAGACCTCCAGGTCGCTCCCGTTGTTTTTTTTTTGGGCCACATATCAGGCAACTTCTAATTCTTAGCCTTTATTTCGTGGTTTCCCTTTGACCGCAGGTTGTTCTCGATTTGGGGGTTTGGATTGGTGGTTTGGGGATTTGAAGCCCTGGTTCTTGTGGAGGATAGATGGGAAGCTACCCCCCAAACCACCTACAGGGAAACGTCCAAAGCGCCCTCGAATCAACAACAGAAAGAGTGGGGCTGGGATTACTGGGTCAATGTTGGGTGCAATTTGCTTGGCTATTTGATTGGACCTTTGGATGTATATAGATGTTCGATCATGTCACGCTAAAGCACTTGTGGTTAAGGTGGGCCAGCTCCATTCAGACCTGACATGGATGCCGCGAGCGGCTGAGCACTTTCTTTTTCCTAGAACTAGATGGGCCGGCTTTGTTCAACTCATCCATTTCATAGGCTTCCTTTTTGGCTTAGCTTGAGAATAGATGGCACTGGTTTAGATGCGCTTTGTTCCATTTACCACATCTATTTTTCCACAAGGCCACTATGGATCCAGTTCGACTTTGGTCTCTTTTTGGGGAAGGCCAAAGTTCGGTGCCAGGAGCAGCAGAGGGAGAAAGGAAAGGTGGAGATGATGGGCGCTGAGCGCTTGGCGGCTGAGCTGCACATGTTCCGCTTTTTGCGTCGTTCTCATGCTGAGTGCTCAAGGGCAGAGTGCTCAAGGGCAGTTTCATGCAATTCCCTTGTGGCCAATTTGCATGATGGCTCAGGCTGTTGCAGAAGAGGTACATGGTTGACTTTCAATCGAGTATTGGTGGAGTATATGCATTCATACCTCCTTAAAACCCATTCCTGAAAATGCACTTCATGCAGCACCGGGAAAGGTTTCCCTTGTCAAGCGAACTTAACTGGAACGCTTACCCTTTCGAAGTGTAGCAAGTCATGTTCCCTTTGAAGTGCACCTAGACCCTAGACGGGATTCCCCAGTGAGCCAAAGGCTTTTGCCTTTTGCCCCTTGAAGCTCAGGGGTAAGGCTTCGGTTGCGCTTGGGTTCCCCCGGCCGAGCGAAGCGCCGTCTCCAAGGTGTCCGCCTCTTTCCTTTGCAGATGTCCTGCACCACCGCCCCCCCCCCAAAAAAAAGAAAGAAACCGTATCAACGATCAGATGCAGGGAAACATCCTGCCAACAGAAAAATCGGCATGCCAACAAGACCGAGCCTAGAACTTCCAGCGCGGTTCGGAGCGGATGAGGTCCTCGCCCAAGAGAGATACAAGGCCTTCCGTGCCAGGCAGTTGCGAGCCGCTTGGCACAGAGGCGTTTGGAAGCACCGAAGGTATCCGATGCTGTTGGGTTGGATCTTTCACTTTTTAGGCTTTGATGAGTGAGATGTAGATGCCCAGCTTTGGTTATGTGCTGCCAGACACGGAGACCCTTTCTGGCTTTTGGGGTGAACAGGATCATGTTGGGGGGTGTACATGGCTATGGGGGGAGGGGGTGTACTCGAACGAGCTGGTTTAGCGGGGGTCGGGGGTTGTCAAAGCAATGGCTTGGTTACCTCAGTCTGCCACTTGGGGACTGACTTTGATGATAAAGTAAAGAGGCAACTAGGAATGGGTGATGCTCAGTGCCAAAACGATGGGGCCAAAGATTTTCCGATAGAGCCCCGTGAATTTGCAGGTATCCTTTTGCTGGCTTGTATTGTTGCTGCTGTTCTTTGTTTATGTTGTTTTGCGCTTCGAACTGCGTGGATTTGTCCCAAGGAGAGGGAGGCTGCTGCAGAGGCGCTGCAAAGGGACATCTCCAAAGTGCAGGCTGGAAGTGCCATGTTCCATTGTTTGAGCTTGAAGAAAGCATAGAGTGGTATGATTTTGACTCCGATTAGAGAGAGTTTCTACACTTCTATGCGATCCTTTGTTTACTTATTGCTTCCCCCAACAAAAGGCCAAAAGGCAGCCGACCGAACAACAAATTGTCAAGAGATCTGCCTAGTGTATGGCTTGGGGAGCGCTTATTTCAGATGTGGCAGCAGCCCTTCTGCTTTCCTCAAAGTACTCAGGCCTAGGAAGGAGCGTGGATCCAATCGCTGCCAAACCAGTCGAGTTTCGCCGCTTTGCCCGGCCGAAGGTTCTGTATGGCTTAAGCTTTGAAACCCTTTTTAGGATCCATGGGTGGTCTTGTAGGTGGGCTTTGCTGGAAGATCTAGCTGCAACAGAAACCATAGGATGTTGTTGTCAGGCAAAGATGCGATGATGGCATTTCCCGGACGAGAGCCCCCTCAATTTGAGTAGGAATGAATGTAGGTTGGCTTGAATCTTGAAATTTAGGGAACAACGGTTGGGGGCCATTGGGCTGAACCTGGGAATCACTGCCAATCCTGTGGCTTGCGGCCCATGCTAACACCAACCTTTCACCACAGGGCTTTGAGTGGTTGGGTCTTTGATGAGGAATTAGAATAGTCTCACTCCACACTGTGCGGGCGGACGGGTTTTTTTTTGACAGACCGCTAGCAATATAGAGATGGTTCTTCCAAAAGCGTTTTTGTTCGTCATTGGTTCAATTCCAGTGTTCTAGGTGTTTCACTTGCTTGGGTTGTTGCGCGCCATTGCCTGGGAGCAAAGTCTCCCGTGAACCCGTTTGTCAACTCGATGGCGGGATCACCTGAAGGTACCCTGAGTTCCTTCTTGTGGGGGGGGGGAGTTGGTTGTGGCTTGGAACTTGCTTCACAGTTTGGCAGGCCCGTAGCTTATGCACATGGGTTGGAAATTTGGCTTTGCCATATTCAGGGTCCCTGGAACCTTTTAGAACACTTGGGATTGTAAGAGTTTCTAAATATCGACGGATCTAAACGACTTGAGTTGCAGGCAAGATCACTCAATGCTTGCTGCGCACTTTATTATAAAGGGGGATTGCTTGCCAATTATAAAGTGCGGCATGAGCAAACAGTTGTGCTCTACCAGTGTTCATTTCCAGACTCATCAATCCTTGGTGCCCTTTCCTTCACAATTCCACCCTACACAGCGAAAAGTTGTCACTTTTTGCAGAGCGGATCTGTCTGTCGGCTGTTTGCAGAAGTGATGGCCCTTCAGGAGCATCTCTGGAAGACCCAGATGCACACTGACGAATCCCTGGAAGAGCTGGAAGCCCAGAAAAGAGTCTACGAGGCAGAGATCTTTGGTTTGGTCGAACAAAAATCCGGTCTGTCGCCAGTTTGGGAGCATGGGGGGCTCCCATGTCCTCTTGGTTGAGATGTGACCATCCAACTGGTGCCTTCCTTTAAGGGAGTCCCCTTCGGGGCATGCCACAAACTCCTCAAACGATCCCGTGAGAACACTACCATGGAATCCTCCAAAAGGTTTGTGTAGAGGAAACCGGTCTGCCAGGACGCCCTTCGTCGGGTTCCATGTTTGATGGGAGGCTTGGAAGTGTCAGCTAAGCGGTGGGTTTTCAAACTGCCCTTCAAAACCAACCCCCTCAAACATCGGGGCCCCTCAGCAACTTAGGGCCCTTGCTTGAAAACCCCTGAAGAATCCAGCCACCTTCACGAGCTGCTTCAAAGGGCTTCTACGTGTGATTTTGTTGGTTGTACCCTTTAAGGGATCTAAGACAAAGTACCCAATGGCACAGGGACAGTCCCAACAAAAATATTGATCTGCCGGGGACCCTGGCAATGCATTTTTTAAGCCTAGCAGGTAAGAAGGGCTTGTGAGGTAACCCCAAGTCAGTTTGGATTTGGAAGTCAACCCCTGGCTCTTGAGGGCAAGTGGGAAACCCCAGGCCCAGAACACCCCCAGGCTTAGCTTGCGCATGAAGTCTCCTCAGAAGATTCCTTATTGCAGGTGTTTGTTCCTGTAGATATGTTGACTTTGGGTTTTTGGGCGTTTGCTTTACAAAAACCCACTCAACCTCATGATGTGTTTGACCTTGCGTTGGCCTCAATTTTGGTCTGGGGGCAGATCCTATTCAACTTGGACCTTGAATTGCCTTGAATCGCCCTTCCCCTTTTGGGGCCTTCAACTGTAGTCTCGCGCTGGTGGAGCCTCCTGGCTGAGAAATGCCAGGGCCGCAGGAAGCAAATCATGTGATTCCTACAGGGGAGCCAGTTTGCTGGCTTTACTTTGGCTTTCCTTGGAAACCATCCAAGGGATATTTGCTGGGAAACACTCGGGGAGTTGGGGGTTAGGGGCCCTTTGAGTGCGTATGCCAGGTGGACGAGGTTGACGCAAAGCAGGCACGGCAGCCACTCGGAGCCTTGTGCCGTATCCCTCGTTCTAGAAAACTGCTTTCTGCCACTTTCGGTGCTCAGTGAATCTGAGTGATAAAAGTGTTGAGGAGGAAAGGGTTATTGTCCACAACAATTTGGGTGCTAAATTGCAACCAAATTTAACCAAAGGGAAGCCACAAGGAGATGCGCATTTTTCCGAGCCCCTACACGAGAGGGATTGTTGAACACAACGGATATGGAATGATTGCGTCGAGCTCAGCAAGCCCAAGCAAGCTCCAAGCTTTTGTTTGACAAAGTTGCGATGTATGCAGGCTCTTTGACCTTCACGAACTCGTGACACATCTGGGTTGCGAGCTCACCGATGTAAAACTCGTAAGGTACTTAGTTGGGAATCCACCTATTTTAAAGTTTGCGGTTATGGGTCAGGATTTGCCACCCCTTTGTGAACAGCCTCAAGTGGCTATCACATTTCCGTTGGTGGGTTGTGCAATGGACATCTACAGTTGCTATGTTTTTTAAAAGAACATTGATGGCTGATCATTTGTAAGATGTTGTCCACACCCTATAACTTCAGCACCCTTGAAAATTCAATGGTAAGGTGTGTTGGGCAGGCAATGGCGGGCAGTTGGTGTTTTCTTGAGCTGAAGCTCTATTTTCGGGTTGGTTTTAGTTGGGTCCCTGAGAGTCGCATGTTGGGGCGTTCGCATTTTGTTCTTTTGGGTCCTGGTGGTTTGGTGGCGTCCGTATCGACCACGAGGGTCAAACATTTTGTTGGTCTCAACCATGAGTCAATCGACCTCAGCACCCCCAGCTAACGAGAAACATGCGGCCGGCGCAGGTCATGACTTTCAATTTTCCCAATGGTTTTGCTCGATGTCTACCAAGACCCCCCTAAAACTTGCGCATGTTTCGATCAGTGCCATGTAGTTGCGCCCTAAAACACGGCGGCGACCTTGAAAACTGCCTGAACCGCTGGGAACCGGCGAATCGATTCGCCTGAGGCGTGCCCAGCAGCGGGTCATCGCGTCCCGGGAGGAGGGAGCAGCGTATGCGCTGCGCGCGGCGGACGAAGCACAGCAAGCGCTGCAGGAAGCGGAGGAGGCGACGAGAGAAGTCGTGGATGGCAGACGGTTTAAACAAGATGCGTTAATCGGTTCTTAGCTTTACGGTTATGGGTAGGAGGTTTAGATAGGTTTAGGGCTTAGGTTTCGGTTTGGGGCTTAAGTCTTGGTTAAGAGGTTTGGTTTTGGTGTGGGTGTCAAGTTTGGTTTAGTGTTTGGGTCTATAGGGCGTGGCTTGCAGCCTATAAGGCTTTTGTGAGGACCTTAGGGTTCACGTTGAGGGTTTAGGGTTTTAGGCTTTGAGTTCGGTTTAGGGCTTGGGTTCTGTTTCGGGGTCTTTTCTTGGTTTATGGTTCAGGTTTCAGGTCTAGGTTTAGGATGGTTCAGGGTTTATGTTCGGGTTTAAGTTTAAAGGTTTAAACAAATGTTTCAGGGTTTAATTTTGGGTTTCGGTCGGGGCGTTGGTTTGTCAGCAGGCAACCCATGGGGGCTGGCCGTTTAGGGAACATTGACCATGTGTTTGGCCCCCTCACTAGTCTGCAAATTCTGCGACAGTTTCCAGGGGCAGAGACCCGCTCGAAAGGTTCCAGCAAACGGGCTCCGATCGCTTAAGTCAGGCAACAATGCGTGCATCCATTTGAATTCACTTGAACCCATTTGAACCCATCAGAACCCACGCAGTTCACCCCAACTTTCGGAGTGCTCAGATCAGCACTTCCAGCTCCCAGGCCTCAACGGCCCAAAGGGCAGAATGGCCCTCGTGGCACCCTTTTTGCCTTTTAGGTTCCCTTTCAACCCAAGTGCTATAAGAAAGCGGGTGCCGATTTGTTTTGCCCCATGGAAATCCACTCGGGGTGGCCTCAGGTGATTTCGACCAAGAAGGCGGAGGTGAAGAGCTTGGTGGACCAGCACTGCGACGAGCGCGCGGTCTTTAAGGCGAGGCGATCGGGGGATTGCCTTGCTACGCAGAAACCGCGATACGTGGTGCTTGGGCATGTCGGTGTGTCTCAAAATATCGGACTAAAAATGGTGGTGGTCGATCTGCTGCCAAACAAGGGTGGCATGTTTTCCATGGCCACTGGGGATCAGCCATGGGATTTGATCAAGCTGACGGGACCCCTGGGCGCTAAACGGCAACCGTGAGATTGTGTTTCTCAAAGCGAAGCCAACGGAGGATGTGAGGTGTTTGTTCCCAGACCCCCGTCCCCCGTTTTTGGGCACTCAGAAAGCTCATGCTGATGTTGGCACCTGTGTTGAAACGATAAGGGAAATCCCGGAACAAAGCTGCAGTTTCTGGGTTTCGGAGGCGTGGAGCCTGGAAAGAGTACAATTGTAAGCCTGTAAGGCAACATATTCCCCCGATATATGTGATATACAACCTCCATACCTCAGAAACTCATACCTGAAAATGCCCAAATGCCAGCTGATAGAAAACGCGAAGCCTATACATTCCTTGGGTGGTTTCAAGGTCATGATTGGTCCTTCTCTGGGGGGGTTGGGCAAAACACAACAATGGCACGGATTCAAGGCTCAGCTTTCCTCTAATTGGTTGTCCGGATTGGTGATGTGCTTAGGGATCGGAAACCCTATCCCTCTACAACAGCCAGGTCCAGCCCAATTCCAAAACTGCCACTTGACTGGGATCTCATTTGTTGGAGGGTAAGCAACATATTTGCCCCAGAGTCAGAAAGTCACATTTTTGGTTGGGCCAACGGCAGGCAAAGCTCCAGAAAGAGGTGGCCGCACAGGACAGAGAGGCGGCAGCCTTCGCGGAGACGGTCCTGGTGCAGACCAAGTCCTGTGACTCGATTCGAATCCGACTCCGAATCCCATGCGACCTGTTGTTGTTGCCGCAGGTGTTTTGGGCGTGTGGCTCTGACTTGTCCAAACCCAAACCCGCTTAAAGTTGCAGATTTAATTGTGTTGTTTTCGTTGAGTGGTGGGAACAAAGTAGCAGTTTGAACTTGTGAAATCCTGAGAGTTGAACCGTACCCTTTTTACCTTGTTTGAAAGGGGAACCACACGGACATCACAATAATTTGGGCTCCCCATAGTTGTGTTTGGGATCCCCACAGTCAATGTATGCATATGTTCTGCATGAGCCCCTAGTATATAAGCACCCCTCGCTTTTGGTAATTTAATCCTCAGCTAGCGTTTTTGTTCGCCTTTGTTCTGCCTGGTGAAAGGGCTAAACGATTGTCTCCTATGGTTGTGACTCAACGTGGAACCCCATTCTAACTGTTTGGGACGGTGTGGTATTTTCGAACGAGCTCACTTGTGCGTAAAAAGAGCGGATGCCCATGATGGTCCTCCACTTGGGGATCCCCATTCCGGGCTTGGAGATTGATGTAAACAAATGCAAGTTTTGCTTGTTTCTTTTTCTTGGGTCCCCGCTGCCCAGTAAGCCTGTAGAGGAGCATTCGTCCGGGATCCCAGCATCCCCACTGCCTAATTCATGATGGAGTCCAATCCAACGATGGATTTGTTCAAGAGGAGACCCGACGCCAGAAAGAAACACAAACAAACTCTCCACGTTCAACACCCAGCTGCTGCCTTGGCCAGAGTCAAGTCATCACAGGGTCCTGAACCTCACTGGGAAAGTCCATTGGCTCAAATGGTGATGTCTAAACTACGTCAGCTCTCAGGGGCGTGTCAAAGAGGACATGTTGGCGCGCAGTGGGCCGCTCGGGCACTTCCGTTGTCACATGTTGAGGCCACCGGCAGCAAGAGGCGAGCCGGCACAATGCGGCCATGCACCATGGCTTTGGCGAAGGCTAGAACATTGGCAGGTCTTTTTGGGCGTGGTTCTTTTTAGCGGGACTACCCATGGCTTTTGGTTTTCCCTGTAGTTTTCCGATAAACCTCCAAATTTAGGGGTACCAACTCCCAAAAATGAGGCGCCCGTTTGATTTCCTTCGGGTCTTTGGACCCAGAAACAGCCGTCTGGCGCTTTTGGAAACACTTGGATGTTTCATACAAGTTTGGTGCTGTATAAACGTTGTGGAAGGGGGCGTACCCTCAATAAAGGACATACCCCTTCCTGGGTGCGAGTGAAATCATCAGTTGAGGGCGCCCCGTTCAGTTTTCCCCACTCGGGCTTTGACGGGACCTTTTAGACTTCCTTTTCCCATCTTTGATGTTCTTGTGGCAATCTCCTTGCTTTCTCATGAATCCCTTCGCTGTTGTTAGCATGTTTTTCTCGTAAAGGACTGCACAGAATTTGTTTTTGCTACCGTACCAACGGTTGGAAAGTTCCTATTTGGGAATCACACGTCGCAATTTGCTCCGAGGGTTTCTTCTTTGGCCTAAAGTAGAGCTCCAAAGGTCGAACATGCTCCCTGAGCGCCGAGACCCTAATTGGTCCCCCCCTAATTGGTCACTTGGGTTTGGACCATTTGAGTGGTACACCAAGAGTTTGATCACTTGTTGGCAAGTGCAAGCACAAACTGCAGATACTTGGCCTTTCAACTGGAGCAGTTTTTGCAGAGTCGACCCTGTCAAAAACCCATTAAATAGGGGTCACGGGATTTCCCCTTCCAAAGTTTCATTTATATTTGTTGTTCCATTGCAACTGCTTTTGGTTCCAAAAAGTGAGATTATGAAAGCCCTGTGGGGTATCATAGTTCTAGGCCATGACCCCTGCAACGACCTCGTGTGGTCGCGGCCTTTAAAGGACCACGGGGCCAGCGCCCGGGGCCCGGGGGAAGGCACTTGGAGAAGGTGGCGGACTTGCACCAGGCGGCCCGCGGCGAAGCCCAGGCAGGCGACTGGCTTCGAGAATTGGAACGACCATACGGTGCCAGTTTTCGGTGGAATTGGGAATGAACCGTTTCAAAGGGACTCCCAAAAACAAAGGGAAACCCACAAGTTGGATGGTGTAACAAAAAGCAGCATCCAAAAGCAAGGCACTTGGGAGGGCCTAGGCTCCAGGTAGATGTGGAGCCTTCTCCGTGAAGCAAGGAGGCCGAAAGACGTTTTCAAGTCGCGTGAGTCGCTTTCGCAGGAGAGGATGCTTCTGCATGAAGAGAAATCCAAGAGGCACGTCAAGGACTGCTCGTGGATGAGCCCGGTTTCCAGAAGCAAGTGTCGAAAGCTTGGAGCACTTGCGTATTTGCAGAACTCAACCGTGGGAAATTCCCGGGGAGAATGTCCTAACTGGGACACCCACTCATCAAGCCAGCGATTTATAGATCCCTGTGGTTCCACTCAGGAAAGGGACCTTCCCAGCGCCCAGCTGAGGCACTAGTGCCCGGTAGGTCCAGGGAGTGCTTGAGGCCGTCCTGGGTTACTGGACTCGTCCGACTAGATCCCTGTGGTTCCACTCAGGAAAGGGACCTTCCCAGCGCCCAGCTGAGGCACTAGTGCCCGGTAGGTCCAGGGAGTGCTTGAGGCCGTCCTGGGTTACTGGACTCGTCCGACTGGCTCTCCATTACCGTGCGCGGTGGCTTCCTGGTGGGAGGTTCAAATGAGTGTGAGTTTCAATAGCACTTCTTTTTTTGGGGGGGGAGGGGAGGGGTTTTAAAGGGAAACCAACATGAATCCACACAAAGTGGGGTCCCCCTTTTTTGACCACCCAAATGAATCGTTTCGTTTGCAGGGTCCCTGCATTGCGGATGGCGACCGGGGATGCGCAAACTCTGAGGCAAAATTCGACAAGCTCAGGGGGGAAACATGGGGAAACCGTTAAAAAGGGGTGGCTGGAGCACGGTCACTTGCTGGGGAAAATCTAAAACCAAACAACTGACTGCATTTTGTGAGGGCGCTTTGACGGAGGACCTGGAGAAGATCACGCACCAACTCAGGATGCGGGGCGACGAGGCGAGGAGAAACGTCCAGGTGTTCCAGACCCCAGGTGTTTGGAGCTGATGGAAGTTGTGAGGGTTCTGAGAATCAGTCTGGTAGGGTCTAAGGATTGGCGCAACGATTTGGCGCTTCGCAATCCCTCCATTGACCTTTGCCTGCCGCCTGATGGTTGCAACCGTCGACTTCATGGTGAGCTGAGTGGTTTGGGGCGAAATCAAGATGGAATTAGGGGCAGGGGGAGGCTTCCATTTCGTTCAAATTTGGGGGATCAATCTATTGGTATGACTTCAGCGCAATTCAAAGGAAGGAGGGCACCGCAGTTTCCCACAATATGGCTCACTAGTTGCAACTGGGCTGGGCTCGATCCAAACGCACCTTTGCGTGTCTCAGTTTCGACGGGTAGGAGTTCTAAAAGGAAACCTCAAGAGTTGTTGGTGGACATGCATCCGTCCCACCTTGTCCATCAAGCATTTCAGGACCCATTCCAATTCAACCCCAGACAGCCAGACAAAAAATAAGAAACAAAAGTGTGGATTGCTTCAATCAACTTGTTTTGGACATGTTCCCCCCTTAACCACCCACTGGACGTTTCGGCCGTTTCCCTTTTTCTCTATGGCAATCGATGGGAGAGGCATTGGTGGAGAAGATGTCCCACACCACGGCCCAGCTGGTTGCGGCGAAGACCTTTTGCGCGGAGGCGGAACCCGGGAGCCACGCCCAAACCACTCAACTGATTTGGGGGGACCCCGTAGCTGCAAAGCTGGGGAAACATATGTCCCGCGCTGGGAGTTTGAAACACTTTGTTTTTGGGAGGGGGCATTCATTCGGGGGAAGTGGTTGAAAAGAGGTGGCCTCCAGGCTCAGATGGAAGCTCCCCCCCCTTCGGAAATCGTGGCTTAGTTGGAGGGACGGTAGCCGTACTAACCGTGGTTGTGGGTTTATGCTTTCCGTAGGTGTCGAGTCTGACTTCAGTGGGTGTCCTTTTCTTTTTCTTGGGTGCTAACAAGCCCATCAGGTTTCATCATCCCTACTTAAATAAAACTAATAGGTAATGGAGAAGTGTCATTCTTATCGGACACCCTTGTATACTGTGCATCTAGCTTCCTTCTTTCCATGTAAAGCACCATTCAGGTATTGAAAGACTTAACATTGACAGAATCTTGTAAGAGCTACATGGTGGCCAGTGTAAATAAACAAGACACTTTTTGCGAGCTAATTTGGAGGAGCCACTTGTCCGTCGTGCGTAAAGTAGGTGGGTTTATGATGTATGTTTTTAGTAGTATTGCTCCATTGTTCTATAATGTTCGAACTCCTAAAGCCCTTATCTTCCCATCCTTGATGCCACTTTGTTTGTTGCCCCTGCGAATATGAATAGAGCCAACTTGAACCAACACATCAACAAGTAAAGCCATCTCTCTCTCTCTCTTTCCCTCTCCCTCCTTCCCTCTCTGCTCGTTTTGTGATGTCCCCAAAGGTAAATCCTTGATTTGTGGATCCCCAAAGGGCCAACAGCCACAATCAGAACCTGGGCAGTTGAAGGTTAAGCCCCAACCAGAAACGGGTGCATTCGCCGCCCCAACTTTTTTCCATGGTAAAAGCGGATTTTGGTTCCGATGGGTTTTGATTATGACTGGTGTTTGTTTTGTGGTAGCTGGAACCAAACCAAAGCTTGCACTTTTGAATCGGGATTTGAACCAGTTCTGATTCTTTTGCTTTGGAACACCAGTCAATTTTAACCATATAACTATGGTCTGGGATTTGACACCCGTCCCTCTTGGGCCAACTGAGTTCTTCAGAGGTGAAGGAGAGTTTGAACGAGGAGATCCGGCAAGCCAAGCTCAACATGGCCAAGATCCAGGAAGAAGCTGCGGCCAATACCCGGAACGAGCAGCGCCGCTGGGCGGGAGTCGAGCGGTTGCCGTTGCGAGCGTGTGGAGAGTTCAATTAAAAACAGAACATCCGCCAGCCAAAAAAGGCCGTTTTTTTTTAAAAGCACCTACAAGTTTCATCAAGATTTTTTTTTTTGGTTTAGTCAGCTCCTTTGCCGACACAAGGGGCATTGTGCCGTCTACTTTAGCCTGATGCACCCCATGACAGCCGCATGATGGTTGGACATAGTATGATGCGCAAGACTGTGGCTTCTGCATTCTGGGAGACCTTGTGGTGGGCATACAACAGCCCACAACTTAGCGAGGGTGCCCAGGGTGCCGCAGATGTTATTTTTGTTTCCATGGCCACTGGGCAGTCCCTAGATTTCCCCTACGGTTTCCAACCATCAAGTTTCCTTCGCGATCGTTCCTTGGAAATCCAGCGACTCCTGGTCCTTTTTTACCAAGCATAGGGGAGGCAGCACCGGCCCGGTTCGCTTGCATCAATGAGGCGCGGTGCAGGGTTTGGAGGCGAAGGCCTTGGATCAGTTCCTGGCGTCCCTGGAGGAGGCCTCAGGCGCCTGGCACGAGACCAGCGGCAAGCGCAAGGCCCTGCAGGCGGGGCCCGAAGACGTGCGAAGCGAAGTGGCGAAGCGGCGTGCTCGCGGGGGGAAGGGGTGGCTGCGTTACCCGGAACTCGGCTGCTTCTTTGGGAGCTCGTGGGGCAGTTTGTCACACACACACACACACACACCGCCAACAAATGCCAACAAATCTATGCATGCCCTTCTATGTTTTTTAGTTCAGGGGGACCAACTTAGATGTTTTGTTCAGGAAAGAAGCAAGCAAGGTGAACTGGGTGGGTGGTTGACAGCTGTGCCAGCAAGCTTGTGACACATGCGGGCACATGGCTGTATGTGTTGTTTTTGTTGGTTTGTCCAGTGAAAGCAAAAGGACACCAACGCCTGTTTTGGACGTCTCCTGATTTTCAGACAAAGCCATTAGCACTTGAATTGTATTTGTGGTTGGCGGTTTGGCTTCTGATGTCGCCCACTACGCACCGCCTTCCATGGATAGCCAAGCTGCAGTGCTTCTAAAGTGCTTGCCAAGGAGAGGGAACCATCTTTGCATTCAGCGTGTCACATTTTCTGGGTAGATCATCTTCTGAACCCACTTTCTGAGTTCCTGGACTTTAGTCACCTTTTGGTGTTTGGACCATTTTAGCATATTTTAGTTTAGTGGTAAGTATACATAAAGCTCAGACTTTCCTTGCCCAATCCACCGGGGGACTGTCTGCCAGTCCCAGGGATTGATCGCCAGGAAGAGCTGGACGAACTTCACGTGAAGTTCCAGAGCCTCCATGACGAGACTCAAGCCAGGCTGGGCGGGAGCCAGAAGGAAAACCACCATTTTGGGGGGTTCCCCCCCAAGAAAAAAATGGGAAAGAAACAAAAGCGCGCGCACACACACACACACACCCAACGCATTCTTAATCCGATGCATCGTACTTGTGCCTGCGTGCTGCATACCTGGTTGGGTGTGCCGGTGTTCAGTTTAGGCTGGTTTGAAAGGGGAGCCAACGGAAGCACAATTTTGGATGGTCTCCCTTGTTTAAGACTTACAAAGGGGTCGCAAAACGCTCCAGCAAAAAGGTAGGGCCTGTTTTGAACAAAACATGTTTTCTGGGTCGGGGGTTCACTGTTTTAAGACAGGATGCTAAGAGTAGCCAGCATGTTCGAACCTCCGCAAAAGGCAGCAAAACTCTACTTCCCGAGCAAAAAATAGCTGGCACCGATTTGCGGGTCCAAGAAGGAACTGTAAAATGGGAGGCACCCTGTTTGGGGTTGGCAGGGAACCAACAAACCATTCAAAGGACAGATTTTTGCTTTTTTCCAGGGGGCGGAAAAGCGCATGGAAGGCATCCAAACTGGAACCCCACCCACCCGCAGCCGCAGGATGAAGGCCATCATGGATCTCTGGCGCAAGGACCGCGAGGCCATGGAAGAGAAGATCCAGGTCCTGGAGGTCAAGCGACAGGACCGTTACACGTCCATTTAAAGAGCAAGCGGATGTCTTCTCGTTGGTTTTATGTGACAGGAATCTATATCACTTGATGAAAACATGTTAATATTGAAATACATGTATCATATATATATAATATATATATATATATATATAAACGCTACACATATATTTACTATTGCAAAGCATGCATCTATCTATGTCCAGGGACCCCTACATGTCAGTGCCATGCTCAAAGTCTATTTGGTAGGGATAATAATGGAAGCGACTTTAGACAACCATTGTATGGGTGTGTGCGTTGTTTGTTGGCATGAGGATGTTGGATTGAGTTTAGCAATCCGCATAATATAAGGATGGGAATGACCGCACTTTCCAGCTTAGTGTACAGGGAAACCACATGCTGCACCTGGCTCCCATGCCCATTTCACGCCCATTTTGCGGCATCCTTGAGAAATTCCAACCAGCCGACCGGTCCGGGGGTAAAACGAGGGAACAACCATGAAGGTCCTTTGCAGACAGGTTCCCTTACCCGTTTTTTGGCGGCTATTCGGTTGGATCCTTAACTTTAACTTTTGGGGAGCATGTGTCAATCCCTTCACTAACCAGCAACTACCACTAGCCAACAAGTGTATGTTCCGCAGCTGCTGTATTCTTTTACGGCATAAAAGTGCATTTCCGACTAACCAACAAGTGATCCTTTCGGGGCCGGCATTGTGGCCCCCTCGGGGGCTTGTTGAAACGGCGAACCTCGCCAGGATGCGTTCCAAGTGGTCACCCGCACGATGCAGGAGACGAAAGACGGCATGCAGGTGAGGGGAGACAGAGGGTTGTTTACTTTTGGCGGTTTCAGGCCATACCCTTAGACTTTAAGCCTTTCTTTGGGTCCAGGGGGATTCATAAAATGCTCCAGGGCCCACTAAAAGTTTAGCTTGCAAGGGATCAACGAACCAGCCAGTTTATCGTGTTTGACTACTATTTGGTTTGTATCCAAGGTTTGCCCTTCAGTTGTGAGCTGATGATTCAAGGGTTTGCGTTGAAGGCGGGAAGTTACACGTCACAAACACATGTGCATAGCTCCTGAGGCCCTAGGGTTCCTTCAAGGAATCATCAGGCCATGTTTGAATCGACGGCTTGAGTTTTGTTTTTCTTCCTTGTTTTCCGGTAAAGCTGCCCCCACCCAAACAGCTTTCGGGGACCCAATAGAGAAATCCGGTCCGGGGCTCAGATTGGCTTTTTCTCAAGTTTAGCAATCACTGGCTTAGTGTTGATAAGTATTGGTTCAGTCTTGCTGCTGCTTTGGTACTGGAATAGTATCGGTTATCCTTGGTTTTAGTGTTGTTCTTCGTGCTGCCTTAGTACTGGCTTAGTATTGGGTTGTATGTGTTTAGTATTGGCTTAGTATTGCATCGGTTGTCTTCGGTCCTCTTCGGTCCCCTTTGCCGAGTTCGGACTTTGATTTGTTTGAGTATTCCTTTGAGCTGGCCCAGCTTTGCTTGCTTTAGTATTGCTTTGTGCAACCTTAGTACTGGCTTTGCCCTAGAATTTGCTTAATATTTGTTGTTTTTGTTGTGTTTGGAAAACGGTTCCGCAATTTGGTACCCCGTTTTCATTTCTAGTATTGCGTATTTGGGGGTGACCATGTACTCTACTCCCCGTTGGCAATTTGTTGGCTGAGCATGTTATAGACAAAGGACATGTAAGGAAATCGGGAGTTTGGGGGATGAGTGTTGTTTCCGGACAAGACAGCTTTTCTGGATGAAGTGATGAAGTCCCAGATTTTGTCTGAGCAAAAACAAAGGTTGTATTACGTACCCCCTTTTCATTTTGGGGTAGAGAATAGTTTCGGCAACACTTGGATCGTATTTGGTACCCTTTGATAAATCGGGTACCGACAGTAAGACACCGCTCTCTTCCAGGGCAATGCTCCAAATCAAAGGCGTTCCATTGATGAGAGTTTGCCCATTTGGTAGCTGGCAACTGGCAAAGGTCATGATATATAAATCCTTTTTTGGAATGATGAGACCTTGCAGTTTCATGACCGTTAGCATAGGGTTCCCCCATGTGCATTGTTTGGGTTGAGGGGGCTGGGCCTTGTGACCAGGCCAAGGAAAGAGCTGCCAGAGAAAGCTGCGCAGAAGCTGTGTCGCAGCGCCACGGCATAAGCAAAATGAGTCCGAATTGTCAACGGGCTAGCCACGGGCCAGGGATATGACCCAGGTACGCGTATAGGAGTGGGACCCCTTGAGCTTTTGTCGACCCCCTGCCTGTTTAGGAACCAAAAGGCCAAGTGGAGTTCACAAAAACGCAGGTGGTTCGAAGGTTGGGACACTGGGACCCCTGTATGAGCTAATGCGTCCTCAGGTGCCAGCGCCAAAGCGAGGACACGGTGGTTGCCACATATGAGGCCGCCGCGGAAGCGGCGAAGAACGAGGACCCAAGCCACTGAGTCACTTCTCGTTTTACACGGGTGACCGACTGGTGCACACATTGTCAAGGGCCGGCCAAAGGACGGGCTCACCTTAGGGGCCCGAGTGATTCCAGAGCCTCACAAGAGCCATTGCTGAACAAGATAACTAATTAGTGACCATTAGAGACAGGGGCCATTAAGGACCACGTGCCAGAGCCTATGGCTAAAGCCTTAAGGCTTGCCCGATGCGTGCAAGTCCAGCTTTTCCGGCCCAAATGAGCCGTCTTCCGGGGTCAGACCCCCTTTTGGGCCACAACCACGGCTTCCCTTGGTTGGCACGCTGTAAATCGACCAGTCGCAGGCTCAGCCTTTGCCAGCTCGGGGATCCTAAGAGCATGGGAAACTGTGTGTGTGCTTGAGCACCAACCTCGTGTTGCAGGGTTCGTCGGGGTGGTTTATAAAACATTCTTTTGGCAGCGTGACTTTGCCGTGCTCTGCAAGTTTATTTTGTTTGTGGATTGGATGTGGGTTGGATGTTGCTCTTTTTTGGTGCTGGCTTCCGACAACATTTTTTGCTGCCAACAATTTGAGATGGTTTAAGGGGGACACGTAAGGGAGCCCCGTGTTATCAGGTGCCAGGGCCGGTTGTGAGTTCGGGCACGGTCAATGTCATCAGTTCAATTTTCCGGAGGTATGTTCTTGAAGGGACGGGGAAACCAGGTTCTGTAGTGATTCCATTGTGTAGGTAGCAACAGGGGTTTCCACTTTGAACAACTAGCGGCCTCCACCACACCCCCCTCCCCCCACCTCCACGCAATCCACTGAGCATTCCTCAACCTTCCGCTTTTGCCAAGCACCATGGAAGTGGACAGCGCCCAGCCTTTTTTGCATGATGGTAGTTTTCCAACATAGGCATTGGCTTCGATGCTTCCCGCGGCCAAACGACTTTAAATGACCAAATCTCAAGTCAGGAGCTTGTCGCTGAGCAAGTGCTGGTGGAGGCACAGCAGTGGAAGTCCCAGATCAAGGACTGTGTTTTTTTTTCTTTTTCTTTTTTTTTTTTTTCAGGGGTTACCTCACTCCCTGAGTCCCTCACTTTCTGGACTCGTCGGCTGTCACAAAGACATTTTCAGTGCCAAACAACAAGTTTGGACTTTGATTTGGCCAATCCACTCTGAAAGTGAATGGCTTCCCTGCATTTTATCTTCGAATCTAAAGCTGGTGTTCTCGGAATGGAGATTCCGTCCACAACTATGTGTTTTAGGGAAGGCTTGATATGAAATGCTATGAAACAGAATCTGACACTACTATTTTCTGTGCACCCCAGATGTGCCCCAAGAAAAGGATGTCTTGGGACCACTTCAGACATCACTTTACCACCGGATGTAAAGGTTTCCCTGGCAAGGCGGGAGGTTTGTGGACGTATTGTTGAAGAAGCCCTGCTGCGCAGTGCCCGACTTCTTCAGGTCTTTCCAACAGAAAACACCTTCCACAGACCCCATGAACATGTACAGTGCCAACCCATCAAACATCAACATACCAAGGACCAAGGACAGTCAAGTTACACTCCCTCAGACAAACGTGCTGTAATTGGAACCAAGTCTTTCATAGGGGTCCTGGGAGGGTATCCCAACTTCTGGTTATTGAATGCCGGCCCAGCGGCCCGAACAGCCCTACCGTGAGGACCTCCAGGCCGCTGCAGACGAGGAGATCGCGGCAATTGAGGCGAAAGCCGCGTCTGTGGAAATACAGCTGGAGAAAGATGCCTTGGCGCAGGCAGGGGTCCCGTCCGGAGAAAGGTAGAGGGATATGGGCATGGATGTGTCTTGTTTTGGTGGTACCCCTTGTTGGGTGGGTTTAAAGGGAAACCAAAAGGAGCACCATTTTGGGGGTTCCCCCCCAAATAACAGCCATGTTTGGCCCAAAAAATAGCAACCTTCGGGAGGACACTCAGAAGTAAGGCCTCACGGATGCCACAGCAGTGTTTTAAGCTTTTGTCACAGCGTGTCACCCCAAAAGGTGAATTTGCCTTTTTCTGGGTGGCAAGTGCGCCACACCAAGGTTATGCCTATTGGATTGGAAGGGATCAGAGTTCCCTCCACATGGCCATGAAATGATACCGTGGATGCCCGGTGTCTTGGTAAGGGAACAGTAACAGGAAGCCCTGCACTGTAGGTTCATGGGTTTGTGGTTGGTTTACTCGCAATGTTCAGGGTATCCGCCGTGTCACCCTGAAAAATGCAGGAAGGACGAAAAATCCCCAGAAAATGAGGCCCACCAAAGAGTACCAAACTTTGTTCAGCTCCGTAGGAATCGTGACCTTGTCGGCGGAATTTGGGACCAGTTAGGGACACATCACTTCCAGGTGGACGCGCCCTGCCAACTTCTTCACCAGTCTTTCGACATCCAAGTAAGTTTCGTTGCACTTAATTTTCGTCCGACAGGTAAATCTATCGAAGCTCCTCGGCTGCATTTGGCCACGAAGGAGGCAGTATGTCTTCCAAGTGCTAGAATCTGCGAACCGATTTGAACGTATTAGTGTTATTCTTGGTGCACCCCATGGGCCAAAATATGTTGCAGTGCTTCTCAGCCATTAGCTGGCACAGGATTTCTCAGCCTAGCAGCGACCTTCTGCAGTTCATGCTCCAGATTCATTGGCTCACGCAAATGTGTTTGGAGACTGCCAATCGAGCATCCAACCGGCCTCACCTGTCTTCATCGGAATTTGGTGTACTTGGGTGGTTTTGTGTGCGTGCCACACGGGCTCTTCGCAGGGTTTTGTTTCCGTGGTTTTGGTCAGTGCCTTTCCTCAACCGAGGCGCCTTGCGCAAAGCGCTGCGGAGGAGGAGAAGGTGCCATGGCCAGCAAGGTCTTCCAGTCTTCTTGGACCTCAAACACACCCAATTGGTTGTGTTTCGTCCCTCGGTTTCCCTTTTTACACAGCCCAACAGGTCAACCTCTAAAATGTTTGACAAGGGGCACATGTCAAGTCCACGGGACCTGTGTTGCGTTCCCGCGGGACCCAACATGTTCGCCATGTGGGGCTGCTTGTGACGCCCAATGCACAGGTTCGATTGAATCCCAGCAAGGCAAAACCCAGCACAGGGCTCGCGGATTGCGTAGATTATGAAGCGGCCCTTCGGGATCAGGTGTTGTCTCCATTTTAGTTCAAATATTATGCAGTGCTGTAGCAAATGGTGGTTCCACTCAATGGTGCCACGTGTTGGAATTTGGGCCACAGGGTTGAGGGGGGCTTGATCGCCAACGCCGGAGTGGCACACAGTGCAAGGCCAAGGCGAATTGAGAATCGCGACCACGAAATCGGTGAAGGGCGGGTCTGTGTTCAGGGTACCATTTCGAGGCTGCAGCGCCTTTGAGTCCCTTGGGTTGGAAGGCAAACGCAACTTTACGGTTGGTTACGTTGAGGCGGTTGATTGGTCAGTTGGTTTGAAGAGGCTTTAGTGGGGGAGGAATGCGCGATTTCCGCTCAGCCAAACGGAGTTTGCAAGGCCGTGCCAGAAGACGCATTTCCCGAGCATGTTTTCCCCAGAAGGCTTTGGCCGTCGATGAAAGAGCAGGCTTGCAAAGTACATTGCTATAGTACACATTTGCAATGCTGCCGGTTTTGCTTGCACTCAGCTCAGGTTTTCATCTCCGAGACTGCTGCAGCATGGGCGAGAGTGAGAAAGGCAAGGGCCGGTGCTTTGAAGGATCAACTGAGAAGGACTTGCGAGCAGGTTGCTTGATGGAATGAGGGAGTAGTTTGCAATGTTGCGCTTTTCAAGTCCAGCTTCATTCAGAACACCCTGCAAGAGCACAGGACATTAATGAGACAAGAACCGCACATGTCACCTTTCGGGTGTATCCGTGCCGATGTGCTCCAACAATTTGGGAAGTTATATCCTTTGGGCTAATACCCTCCCACCAACTTACATGGAAGTGCACAAAGCCCCTTTCCAAAAGAAAAGTAGTGTTGCAATCATGGACAAAGGCCAAAAAGAGGGGCAAATCCACTGAACACGCGGTAGCTTGGCAAGCCTTATCCAGTCCATTAAACCCATTTGTTTAGGTTGTCCTTGCGGTTTCCCCAAAGCTCCCCCCAAATAAGTTGAGTCGTATCTTTCAACCCCCCTCCCCCCAGTGGCCTTTAAGATCTTAACTTAACTATTAGCCCACACAAATCCCGGGGGCATTCGTCGGTTTATGGTCCGCCAGAGTCCGAAGTTGCAAGATGCAATTTGGCAATATGTAGCATTACCTTTCCACCAGACCCAAAGGCGGATGTGTGCCCTTTGATCAGTTGCATCCTGTTTCCTCTTTCGGGGCTTGTCTTCAGAAAATCTGCATTTGGACCCCAAAATGGTGGTTTTGCTTTTGGCTTCCCTTAAACCAAACCAAAAAGGGTACCCCAAAAAGGGACACACCCTGGCTTCAGCCTGCCATTGGCTTTCAGGCTACTTCTGACCAATCCCCACCTTTTTGGCCCTTTTGCCCTTTAAGGCACCGCCTCATTGTTGGCCTCCGACCCGGACAAATCCTCTCGCAAGGCCTGCTACCAACTCCGCCTGGCCAGCCTGCATGCAGCTCGGGGAAATCGATTGTTCGACCGTTCCACCTCCCAGGGTGACCCACGTGGCCATGTGTCGAAAATGGGTACCCAAAATTCAACCCTGGTAAATGGAAATATGAACTAACATCTGCGGTCCCCTGTTTGTTTAATTTTGACCCACAGCCATGTGAAGCTTTCAAAAGGTAAACCTGTTTCTCTACTAGGTCAATCTTTTCAGCTGGGTCTTGTGGAGAAGTGAGAGGGTAAGGACCTGTTCAGGTTTGGGTGGAGATGTGGAGCCGTTTAACGCGACCAGAAGTTTGAAAGCAGCATGCAAGCAATATTGATCAACCCCCATCTGGTTTCTTCTCTTCCGGGGAAAGATCTACGAGTTGTCTCCGTAGAAGAGCCTATGTTTTTTCCCCCAGGCAAAGGTGTCATTCAAGAGCTGCAGTTCTGAAGTCGGGTCTTTATTTCAAAGGGTAATGTCCACCTCTGATTAATCAATAGACCCCCCCCTCCCCTGAATGCCCCTACACAAAGTTGAGGGGGAAAAATCAGGGTCGGGACAAGTTTAGAATGTGTTTGGTATTGGGCTCTGTTTCTTGGTTTTCGAATACTACTTTAGAATTGGGCCAATTCTAAAGTAGTATTGGGCATGTTTTTTTTTTGGGGGGGGGGAGTTTAGCTTTGTTTAGGGGTAGTTTATTATTTGGTTTTGGGAAAACATTTAGCTTTATTCAGGGGTAGTTTACTAATCGTAGGTGGACATTAGGCCACGGACACAAAACTGAACATACGTGCTTAACCCCAGAATTGGGCCGAGAACTACGTATTTGTCATGCTAGGGAGACCCAGGCCAGGTTGCTTCCTTTGTGCTTTTTTGAACGGGTTTGCCTGGGAGACCCAGTACCATGTGCACACCTTTGTGGCAATTTGGTTGGATCTTTGGACTTTCACTTTCTGGTTGAAACAGTGGATCATCCATTGGACCCCCACTGAAGCTTTGGCCAGGACCTCAGGAACAGTGTAACGGCACGGCTGGCCGCCATTCAACCAGGGTCACTGGTTGCATATGACGCAAGCAGCGGCATGTAGTAGAAAAGCATGGTGTTTTCAGGGAAGCGGCTGGTGCTGGCCCCCAATGTGCCGTTCTGGCGAGAAATGCGCAACTGGCAAGCACCCACCAGAGCCGGCGCTTGGTATTTACGAAAGGCTGCTTCTAGGTAGGGTGTGATGTTTTAGCAAGTCTCTGCCACGCGCGTTGGCAAAATGCAGATTTTTGATGCCTGCGGGGACTTGGCCTTCTCAAAGCCTCTATAGTTTTTGTTTTGTCCTAGGATTGAACCCCCTTACCTTCCCCCCAGAAATTTGTTGGTTCCCTTCTGGCCTTAAGGCTGCGAGTGCGGGTTCTTTTTTTTGAGGGGGCTGGTGGATGCAAGGACTTCGCCAGAAGCATCGCCAACGGCCAGTTCGACTCGAAGCTGGACTGAGTCAAGAGCTCAAGGCAGCCAGGAATTCAGGAAACTGCACGGGCTGTCAGGTTGCAGTCAGTAATGAATAGCATTGATAGTAACAAGCAATATACAAGAGAAGGGAATGCCTCACCTCTTTTACATTTACAGAACAACAACACACACACATATCATAGTAAACCGCCTCCATGAGATGGCCTGTCGCTTCCTGCGACGCTTTGCAGATGGCCCTGTCTATTTCGCCATCTCGAGCGGTTGATTCTGTGCAGCGTGGCTTCGTCGTGCCCAAGTTTTCAGTGGAACCCTCTTTTGCTTTGTGGTTTTGTTTTGAAAAATGGTCAGTCCCAAAAAGACATGGGTCATTTGTTCTAGCTTTCTGGTGATATCGTGCTACCAAGCTTGCTGGCAAGGTAGCCCCTTCCACTGAACATGGTTTGGTGCACAGGCCCGCCTTCTTCAAAATCAACCAAGTTTTCCAAGATTGATGTGTGCACCAATCCATTTTTGTTTGGATAGTAATACCTGGCAGAAAATTATCCTGAGCTGAACTAGGGTAAGATGAGGTCACCTATGCAAGTCCCTCACTCGGGATTACTTATTTCCAACTAGTAACTAGCCAATGCTTCTAAGTTTGCCCAAAAGGAAACCCAATGAGGGATGGCTAATTTGTTCAATGTTTCCAGACCCCCTATTCACCAGATAATGGCGCGGTGAAGTCAGCGAGGCTCGAAGGCTTCCAGCAGATGCGAGTGAGCGAGGAACAGCCTTGCTCGAGGGGCCCTTTAAGAAGGCCGCCGTTCGCAAGCGAGGATCGAGGAAAAACCTGTCCGCATCTCCATGGTGTTGAACGGCGTGGCTTAACCGGTATTTTGTAGGGAGCCCTTTCCCTCCCACTCATGTAGAACCCGCCAACAGGCCCCGGTGTAGAGGAACATTGCTTTTTGGGTGCCTGAGTCAAGTACCATGTTAGCGGGTGTGAGGGCATGTCTTATAAATCTTCCCCCCCCGCAACCCCCAAGCAGATCACCCCCAAAACATACAACAGTGTGCTTTTGCTTTTCTTGTCGAACCTAAGGGGGAGTGTGTTTGGGTGTGTGCGTGTGCGTCGTTGGCGGGTCCGCGACCCAAAGCGTTGCAGCCAGCAACATTGCTTCGTGCCTCCCATCCCGAGTGCGAAGTTTGAAGCTGGGGGTTCTGCCATTCAACCCTTAGCGATTGCAGGCTCACCGGCCTTCTGCGACTTGCAGACCAAGTTCTCCTCAAGTGGCACAGGTTCAATGTGCTGATTCCATGGAAGCCACTAATTACTTAGGGGAAAGTCTTCCATAGAATCGCCGGGTATGTGGACAAACCGCCAGCATCAGGCTGTTCCTCATTACGTGGAATGCCTTATGTGACAGCAAGACGACATCCTTTCCCAGGGCTTCCACTTTCAAGAAAATGCCACGGGAAAACCATAGCACTTGCATGTGCAAACAAACAATACATGTGCGGAAGCGAAGGCCGAAGAGGCTGAGCAGAAGGCGGCGGAGGCGAAAAAGCGAGCAGGGGGCCCAAAGAAGCAAGTTGTGCGTGTGTGTGTGTGTGTGTGTGTGTGTGTGTGTGTGTGTGTGTGCGTGGTTTTGTCTTGGGTACCCTTTGCAAGCCTGGAATTGTGCCCTGGTGACACCAGGGCACCAGTGTTGAGCATCCGAAGATATTAAAGCATACCCATTGGCAAGGATGGTGGGCTCTTGCAAGGATTTTGGAACAACTGGATTCCTCAAAAGGGAATGACCATGAATATACATATATAGAGAGAGAGAGAGAGATAAAAACAAAAAAAAGGGTTCTGACCATGGAGACACGGCTGAGGATATCAGAAGGGTAAGGCCAGATTTTGTCGGTTATTTTTGGAGAACATCTGGAGACCTCAGCTTCATTTCTGAGGTCTCCTCCAAAGCAATTTTAAATTTTAGGGTAGGCTGACTATGAAGCAACCAGTGAATGTTTGATTTTCTATGTCCCCCAGATGTGGGCCCGGGTTTGATGCCCGCTGTTCAGGGTTCTTTTGAGTCTCTAGGGCCCTCAAGATAAAATCGGAAGATAGCATTGACTCGCAGTTCTTTGGGCGGGCTGTATGTCAGCGTCAAGCACGCTCGCTCATTTGTGCCTAGTGCGATTTTGTTTTTTGGCCTTGTGGCTTCTCCAACAGGTTAGGGTCCCACAAAATTACCTCCGCATTTTGGGCACATGAGTTTGAGTTCCATTTGGTTTGCCACTCCAGTTCACTTGGGCATGCGAGATCCGTCCAGGACTGGCAACTTCGAGACCGCATTGAGAGCGCCGTGGCCGCATGCGGCGACTCCATGAAAGTTGTGGTTGAACCTCTGGATGACCAAACCAAGCAACCCAAAAATTGCATGGTACCTGTTGCCGTTGTTCTGGGCTTGGACAGATGGTTGGAACTCGGCTTGCTGCACAGGCCGATATTTCCAAAATGGGATATGTGCGGCAATCCATGCTTGTTGGTGGGCAACTTACAGCAAGCTCACTGACTGGGGTGGGGGGGAAGTAAACGAGCTCACCCATGACGACTTCTTTACCAGGGGATTCCGTATCCGGCCGGTGAGTTAGAGTATGTTAGAGTTATTTGACCGTATAAAAAATATACTGTTGCAAGGCTAGGCAGTGTATGTGCGTGTGTGGTTTGCATGCGCTTGGGTGAGTGCGTGCCTTCGTGAATCAAGGGGTTTCCTTTCTCGTGCTTCGAATAACATAATTAAACCAATCCAAGTTTGTATTCTTTCAACACTGCAGGGAGGTCGAACAGGCCTCCTAAGCTAAACCTTGTCTTCCTCCATTGCCGTGTTTGTTCCTTTATGGCTAGATGGGAAAGAAAGTATGGAGCTGGGGGGGGGGGAGGGGCGGAGTGGGTTCACGTTTCTTTTCCTTTGGGTGCAGATGCGGGCCTCGACCTGAAAGCACCCTGGCTGCGCGCGCAGGCCTTGAGGAGCTTGAGGCGAACGCTGAGGGGCAGCTGAAGTGGCTGAGGCAGTGGTGTGAAAGCAGTGGCTCTTGGTTTCTCGCTGTTTGTTGCCCTCCCTGCATTGATATGGAGCCCACTAGGCTCCTGGGGTCGCTTTGCTGCCGGAATGGTCAACTTACATATATATATATAGACGATATATATATATATATAGACGATATATATATATATATATATATATTTATATATTATGCATACTATTTTGGAAAGCGACTGCTCCACTAGCGAATGGGTTAGCTGTCGGTGCAGGGGCGTTGAAGTTGTCTTCTTTCCACCTGGCCAACAAACAGTAAGCTTTTGTAAGGGTCTGTTCGACCTAGGGTCCTTGGTTGGACCTCCTTGGCCAACTTTTCCCGAACCCCTATCTTGTAGTGAGCGCAGGAGGGGTGCCCACATCCACCGAGGGTCCAGGGGTTGTCCCTTGGTATTCACCCAGACAGCTCTGCTTTTAGACCCCCAAACCTGCCTTTTGAGCATGTAACAGCTGCTAATCCAAAGAACAACCCCACCGCCAAATTGCAGGTTAGCCCGAAAAAGGTGAAGTTCACACCACCAGGTTCTCCCCATGTCTTCCTTTTCCGGAATTTCCAAAAACGGATTTCCCCCGCTTTCCCGACAACTCCTCGCTCGAGCTCTCGGCAGATCCGAGCTGGACGCCCGCGGCGCGGAGCTGGAGGAGGCGAACACGGGGTCCGAAACGGGTCGCAGTCGAGTGTTCAGCGGGAGGCGCGCAGGTCTCCGATGGAACGCTATTTCGGCCCCTGAACACATGCTGATTTGGGCGGGAGGGTTAGAAGAAGGGGTCCGGCTCAACTTAGGCTTTTAGTTAGTTTTAGTTGGTTTAGTGATTTGGATTTCCTTGTAAAGCCCACAAGTCAAACTTTTAGCAGGGGATTTGTTCACAACTCAGACTAGCATAGCCGGTCTGACCGGTGTGACCAGATGACCCAACAGCCTTTTGGTTGCACAAATGGTTGTGATCGACCTTTTGCTTGTTCGCGGGGAAGAGCAGCCGGGGTGTTTTTGAGTGATCCCAAGAGTCAGGTTGCCCAAAATTGGTTTGCAGCAGAACTTCCCAGTTTGGTTCAAAAGGACACCAACGCTTCTTTTTCTGTGGAAGAGCCTCTGGGTTGTCGCGGCCAGGCCAAGAAGCAGCTTCAGGCTGGGAAGACTGAGGAGGCTGGAATCGATTCGACGGGTGGGCCGCAAAGAGAGAGAGAGAGAGAGAGGGAGAGGGAGAGGGAGGGAGAGAGAGGGAGAGAGCGAGAGAGACAGAGAGAAAGAGTCAATTGGGCAAATGGGCGTGTCTTTTGCAGGGCACCCTTTGTGAGATTTGAAACGAAATGAAAAGGACTGCGTATGCGTTTCGCAGATCAATTTTGAGACAGACGTGGCACTCTTATAGAGCATTGCCAGTGGCCGACCTTCAAAATGGGGCAACCACACGATCAGAATCAACCTGTGGGCACGATAAGATCCCCATTGTGGTTCTGCCTCATGACTGCGTTGCCGGGTCCCTTACAGCGGTTTCATTTTGGCGGCGTCATCCATTTGCCTGGTGCAAATGGGTTGCCTTTTGACTCCCTTGGTTGAAGTTAAAAGGTTCAGCACTAGACTCTTCCCCCGGTACTGCCAAAGATTTTACCCTTACAATATGAAGGTGGGAAGACCGCTTTTGGAAGACCTTTGTTTTTGGATAGTGTTCCTGTGGTCTATGTTAGCGAGTGGGAGGCCCCTTCCTTGTTCATAACTTGCATTAAGGTAAACTAATACACCCCCCTAGTTAAGTGCCCCGGCCCTAGTTGGAGGAACTGCCGATCAAGTGTATTGCCAGGTTTTGGTAGAACCTTGGCCCCAATCTGTTTCATGCAATTGAATTCTCCACTTTTTTCACTTGCAATCAGTGATCAGTTTGTTGGGGAGGCCAGCAAAGTTATCTCGGGCCCATAGAATTCCTTGAAGCTTCAAGTCCCCTTGGCCACCTTTGTTTGGTTATGAACTGGATTGTAAACACAGTCCACCACTTACGAAGTTTTTGACCCCATGACTA